GAGGAAACTAAAAGGAAAGATCCTTGGACCACATCTTTCCTCACAAGGTGCACTCAACAAACTCATCCAATTCTTGAACCAAGTTACAGAAAGAGCTCCTAAATCCCCTCCTGGGCAAGTTCATTAAACAGATCAACTGATATGATTTCAGAACAAGTGTAACTGTTCAACCTAAATGTTGCTCCTTCCTAAGGATATTAATGAACAGTACATATAATTTAAAACGTGCCCTATGTTATAAAATATATTATAAATAATTAGATTTTTATAGTAATGAACATTTATAAGAAATGTTGAGATGATTTCTCTAACATAAGATCCTGGGGGGAAATGACGCTATCACACCTGTCTTGTAGGATTCCACCTTCACAAACTCAGCCATTTAGGTGTTGTTGTAGTTCTGCTACTACTCCCTCCATCAAATCCTGCCTTCTAGTTGGGAATCTGACCTCCATATTGGCTACCTCATACTGTTAAACTGCCTGCTTTGTGACATCATTCTCCCACCAACCTACCAAACTGCTGGAATCTTGGGGTTTCCATGGAGCTGCTTATAAATAAACCTGGATCATCTCAAGCCACCAGTGACCAGTGATCTTCATCCTGGACACACCTGCTCTTTGGCTTCAGCCACTGAGACATCATCTAGTGTATTATCCTAATCTCTCGTACCTACAGTTGTTGTTTCCTCTTCTTCTCTGACCATGTCTGGTAAGGAAAGAAACCTTTTAAAGATTTTCATTAGAATTTTTTGCCCCTAAATGTAGTACAGATTTAAAATAGTATGAAATAATGGGGCAATGTGTCAAACTAGAAATCTGGAGACCTAATTTCAGTTTTGACTTTGACATTTACTAGCTGTGTGACTTTGGACAAGTCATTAACTCTCCAAGAAAATCTGGTTTTTGCTCATCTGTTACATTAGGATGGCAGATTACTTCTCTCTGGTCCCTTTCTTTTCCAATATTGAGTTTTAAAGGGCACCCACATAGAAACTGAAATCAGAGGTATCTCGAAATGCTTCAATAGAAACAGAGAAAACAAGGTAACGTAGGAAACTGGCAGAATATGTTGAGATGTATCATCTGTAGTGGGCTCCCTCCACTAATGTTTCAAATTAACTATTTTTAATTTAATGACGTTCAAAAAGTACTATCCACACATTTTGGAGTGTTCTATCTAAACTAGGTGAAAAGAGAAAGTAAGGAGAGAGGACAGAGAGTACTGGGCTGTTCAAAAGGAAGGAAGTTGAAGATTGTTTTCATCAGCACAGGCCAACAGGAACCAAGAGGGAAGAGAAAATATAAGAATGAAGGCAAGCATGGAGCAGCTCTCAAGAAAAAGGAGCAGTTTGAGTGGAATGTTGAAGGAATCAAAGATTTTAAATTAAAGCAGAAACACAGAGTGAAATCTGCTCAGAGCAGGGCAGAACACAGTTGATTTAAGCAAATGCTTCCATGAGTGGACTAAGAAGGAAAGCAAGGCCAGATAGGGTATCACACATCAGAAACAACGAGCTTGTCAGCAGGCATACGCAATTGTTTTTTTCCTGTTGCCTCTCTGAAACACAGATGACACCTTACACTTCTGCGTATAAACATTTCAGAAGTATGTTTTAGAAATCATGCTTCCTATAAACAAGAAACTAAAATGGTTACCTAGGAGAGTGAAGGAAACGGAATTTTCATTACTTTATGTCATTCTGATTTTAAGACTTTGTAGATATTTTGCCTATTAAAAATAAAATTAAGTCTTTTTAAAAAATTTTATTCCCTAACTTGAATCAGGACTAACTGCTTTTGTGATAAGTAAGTTCCAAGTCAAGACTGCTTTTTATCTTTAGTTATTTTCTTCCTAATACAGAGAGCACACTAATAAACACCCATTATCTCCTTTTAGATATTAGCTATTATAAGAAGGAAAAATCAAGCCCCACAACTTTTATTCCACATTTATCTAATAAAATTTTGTGGAGTCCTTTGGGAATTCCTAAACTATAAAAATTAAATTTAATTCTAGCCATGATGGTTTTTCTGGGCTTTGGGGATGATATTTTCCTGGATGTTGAAGATTATGATGTAGGTTTTGAGATAAATATAAAAACCTTCATGATACTTGTTAAGTGTTCTTTTCTCTTATGTGATTATATTAATTGAAATATACATATTTCTACTAGGCTTCATATCTGTTACTTGCTGGCTAATACTCAGACAGCTATGAAAGAGCACAATAATGGAATTCCTTTATACTTAGGATCTTGCTCTCTGCTTTGCCTCAGTTTTTACTGAAATATTTTCCTACAAAAAAGTAGCTACCGGTACTTGCACATTTATTGCACTTTGCTGCTGTTTATGCAACTTTTTACTGATATTATCTTCTCTGACTGAATGTACTGTCTAGGAATTCATTCAAAATCACCTTCTACTGTGGGCTGTTTTTTGGTTAGTAGTACTCACTAACATACAGTAGGCAATATTCACTTCCATAGTTTTGCACATATGATGGAGAACTCCATTTAATAGTAAACTTATGCTTGCTCCCTACATACCCCAGTTTTCATTAGTATCTCCATATTTCTTTTTTAGTTTTGTGCTACGTTTTTCATAATTTTTCTCTTTATCTTTCCAGAACTTCTATTTTCCTCTATATAAATCATATGTAATATCACTTTTATCCATGTATGAATTATTACTGTCATTATTCTTACTATTATAACCACTTCATAGATGAAAAACCTAAAGCTCACAGAATTTAAATGACTTTTTTCTCTCAAAAAGCACTTTTTGAGAAATTCACTCTCAGGTAGTCATTTTGAGGGAGGATCAGAAATCTGGCTTGAAGAGGGTAAGAATGACCCCTTAAATTTACCAACTGGACCAAGCTATACATGAACTCTGGGTAAGAGCATGTGAACTGCACAAGCAAAATGAGACACTGAGGATTACAATGGGAGCAGCTGTGCTATTTTCCAATGGACCAAAAAAGGGGGGGGCCCATATGAAAAGTTCTATTTCTCCTGGTTTGGGGCAGTGTAATGCTCAGAGCAGAGTCCTGGCAAGGAAGTCAGCATACTTAGGGTCCTGTAACCTGGTAATGACACTAACATAATGGAAGAACTCGAACAAGCCCATCTCACCTCTCTAAGCCTCAGTTTCCTCACTTGTAAAACAAGAGTATTAGAAGTTCTTGAGGGACTCCCCAGTTCTAAAATGCTTTAATTCTAGGAAATAGCACAGGAGAAGATACTAATGCAGGCTCACAGGGAAGAAGGGCAGGGAGAAGGTTGCTTCTAGCCTAGAGAATGATGAGGAACCCCTCTCCTGGGTCTTCTGCACATCTGCCCAAGCTGGGAGCACGTGCAGTGAGTACTGAAGGATACCAAACTGCTCCAGCACTGAGAACCATCAGAAACGGACTGATTCTTGTTATCTCCAGTGAGTTGGTATTACACTCTTCCTGACAGCAGCAACTTTAAGGTAATGCTGCTACTCTGACAGACAATTTTCAACCTCACTGATTTTTTTTCCCTACAGAAAATTTCCAAACTCCATTTATACTTGGAACTTCAAATTCTCTGCAGTTCTCTGTTGCTGTGGTGAGCCATGCAGCTTCTTCCTTAACAGGAAGAGTCTGCAATTTCTCCAGAGTCTCTGCTCCCATTGCCAGTTCGACATGGCTGCCGCCATCAGCCTCTGGCACCTCTTTCCAGCCACTCATAGGGACTGCCTACCTTTACCAACATTCCAGCACAACTATGTGGTCTGCAGTTACCAGCCAGCGCCAGATCTCCACTTCAGTTGGAGACTTCACTATGACTGTCACTAACCAGAACACAGCAATGTGTATGGCAACTCAGTATGCTCAGACTTCGTATGCCAATTACATGGTCCCTGCATATCCATCACTTCCTGGCAGGCTTGTTCAGGCAACACCATCCCAGATTCTAAATCAGGGACATAGTCTGTCACTTCATTACCAGCAAGGGAGCCAGATATATTATTACAATCAAGGCACAATGGGGACTCTGCGATCTGGAGAACTTGTTCCCTGTCTGCAATCCAATGGCTCTGTGACAAATACAGGAAGTAGGGCCTCTGCCCCTCGACCAGAAATGACGATGGTGCGGCAGGAGATTCAGCCCACAGGTACCCAACCACCAGTCTCCACATCTGGAATCTACTACTACGTGTCCTCTCAAACCATCACAGAAACACATTTTCAAGGTGAGTGCAAACGGCAAGTATGGAGAGGAATAAGGTCAGCATTCAAAAGAAAGGTCAGATACGTAGAGTTCAAGTCCTGAGACGTTAATAACCACCACTCTCTCTCAGTGATCTTCATTTCCAGACCTAATGGAGGTGGGAAGGCAGGACACTGTGACGGCCATCTATGCCACATCCACACAGGGCGCGCCAAGGGATACCATGCTTTTCACGGCCCTGGCTCTTCGGTCCCCCTGCACACTCCCATACTGCAAGGAACTCCTGTTTCCTGATCTAGTCCTGATTTTTGGAAGCCATCTCACTTTTTGTGCTGGGACCAGTTTAACTTTCCCTCACGTCCTTAATGGACACCAGGATTTAAGACCTTTTGTTCTAGGATCTTGTCCCAAACAAGCAGGCTATGAATCTGTCCTTGCTTAAATATTTCATCAGGAAGAACTCCATTCTCTCTCTTAGTCTATGGGGTGAGGTGTTCTTAACTTCTCAGGAAAGCAGACAGGATTATTGAAGACTACATAGAAGACTGCTAGGCCTTGTAAAACATTTCATATTTTAAAAATCACTTTTACCTTTTATTTGACTTACAAAAATCCTATGGAGTACAAAGGAAACCAAGCAAAAGTGTCATCAAATGATCAGCAGTAAGAACTAGAACAGCTGCCTCCTCTATCTCCTAGCACAGGGTGCTACCCATGACTCTTAAGAACTAGTAGAAAAGTCTTGTCCATGTTGAGCAGTGCATGGTTTCTGTGTTGCATCTAGAAGCATCTCACTTACCAAAGACTGACTTCTTCCTTGTTCCTTTGTAGTGACGCAGACGTCCCGGACTTCGCAGCCTCCAAGCCAGACATTTTGTCTGCCACAACCTCCACACAGCCAGACACTTGAGAGTAACCCACCACCTGAGGTTGGGGGCATTTCAGTGAGAGCTTCAGTGCAGAGTTCTGGTAATCCCTTGGCACTTCCTCCAGCTAAAAATGAGGAACTAACAGAGAATAACAATTTGGAGGATAGTAAAAACAAGCTTTTGAAGCCTCTGGATGCCTCCCAGATCCCAGTAGAAAACCAAGATGATGTACTGCTCCCTATACACATCCCTGATACTCACCATCTCCAGGCCTGCACTGATCCCTTCAACCAAGAGAAGCAGCCTCGTTCTGAAAACATTGATCTGGGGAAGAACAGCCTGAGCCTTGAGGACCAAAGCACACTTGTAAATGAGAACGAATCGAGCAGCAGTTTTGCAAACATTGCTGCCCAGGCGGGAGACTGTCACCTTCCTCAGCTCTTCAGTTCCTCAAAAAACCTTATTCAGTCCAAAGGTCCCAAGGTGATCAAAATCGAAGATACCAGAGCCACCGAATTAAACCAGGTACAAGAAAGGTCATGTGCCAAAAAGAGGTCTTCTGGACAAGCAAGGGAGAACAAACATGGAGCCTCTGGGCCTCTCAGTGGTGCTCCCGAGGCACCAGAGGGAGATGTGAGTATCTGCAATCTTGTGGATGGTGATGAGGCTCCAGTGAACAAGCCCAAGCGTTCTAGACACAAATCTCCAATAACTGCATCAAGCAGAACCAGAAAAACTAGGAGCTGTGAACAGAAGACCACAAGAACCAGAAAAAGGAACTCCAAGAAAGCTGAAGAGGGTGAGCAGTCTGGAAACAAAGTCACAGCAGAAGAAAAGCCACCCATTCCCAGGATGAAGAGGAAGAAAAATGAACCTGAGCTCAGCCAAGAGAACTTTAAAAAGACCTCTAAGCACTCTAGGCATGCACATGCTGGAGTTCATTCAGGTTTTTCATGCACTGGGGAAGAAGACTGATAAGAAACCTGGATTCTCAGATAACTGCTATGCAAGTCTTCATAAACATGATGTTTATACTGTCCTCACTCCTAGCTGTATCCTTTTTGTACTCTTATTTTCTATTTTCACCCTTTTCCTATTTGAAATGCATTATTATCTTGCTTCATTTCAAGCAATTTTATGAACCCTCTTGAGTCTTTTTGGAATGAGATACATATCTATCCTTATCTGCATATATGCATACCAAGTAGACTTGTTCCAGATGCTTCTCTATAACATACTTTATAGAAGCTCATTTGGAAATTTTTATTGATTTGGTTTCCACAAACATCAATACAAATCTTTCTGTAAGGCCAGACTAAATTTTGTAATAAAAAATTGCATGGATAGTTTCATCGTTTGTGAACAGCAAAGTGCAATATTCTTTTAAAAGTTAGTAAGGCTTTCAAATATTGTTCATAAAATGGTCTCATGAAGGGAAAAAAAAAAGTGACCTGAATTCTCTTCTTCCCAGGACTTGGGAAATTCAAGGAACCCCAAAGACCCCCAGCCACCCCCAGCCACCAAACCACGGCTGAATATTCTATGTGAGAGTAAAAGTCCTCAGAAATTTCATGTCAAAGCCCAGAAACCAGATAGCAGTGTCGAAAAAGAGTGTCCATCTCCATCTCAGAATGAACTGCTACCTCCTGGGGAGCTCAACTTGGTGCCTTTGCCTTTTCTGACGGAAGACAGGTCTCCAGTTCACCGAGTTCCTCATAGGCGACGGTCTCTGGCCTCAGAATAGCCAGCTTTGGCTTCCTCTACCCAGCCTGGCTCTACAACTGCAGTCGATTCATCCCAGCAAGCTCCTGCATCTTTAACAGATCCTGCCTGCTCATCTCTGGGTCCAGTCTCGACCAACTCAACCCAATCAGACCTGACCAAGTCTACCCAGCCTAGTGTCACCCAGTCCACTGCTTCTAGACCTGTACCCTACAGAGCATCACCTTGCACTTCTCTCTGGCAGGAGCCCATTCCCACTGCTGTGCCCCAGAACCAGCCTCAACCCAAGCCTAAAAGCCCGTATGTAAACCAAGAAGTCTACTACTTCATACCACATCCATGGAGGATATCTAATATTCTTGGGCCAGAAGTATCAGAGCCGATCACAGAAGAGCAGAGGCCACAGCGGGAAGCTATGAAGAGACAGGCTCAACAAGAGCGTGAGAATGCTGCCAAGTACACCTCCTTGGGGAAAATACAGCTTTCCATTGAAAGGGAAAAGGAAAAGGAAATTGCTGACTCCTATGGCTATATAATAATGTAAGAGCTGATAGGATTGTTGGTGCCACTTTGGTTACCAGCTGTAGATAAATAGATATGTTTCCACACGAGGATAGACAGATAAAAGTTTCCATACATAAATAGATAGATATAGATAGATAAGTTTCCACACGTAGATAGATATTTTTCCACATGTAGATAGATAGATATAATTATGTTTCCACATGTAGATAGACAGATATGTTTCCACATGCAGACAGACAGATATAAGTTTCCACATGTAGATATAAGTTTTCACATGTAGATATACCTGTCCACACTTGTTTGAGTTATAATTCTACAGGCAACTATGTGATTCTTGAGTATCTATTCCCTCCCTAGACTGGTAGGATTCAGAGAAGGCTGGTCAAGTCTCTCTGCCCACAAAGTCTCACAAGTCTTTTTCGCAGCACCCAGCACAGTGCTTACACAAAGACGCCTAATACATATTTTCTCAATAAACATAAATTGGCACAGTGCAGCAACGTCCACAAAAACACAAGGGTTGCTCTGATTCAGAAATTCCATTCTGAGTGAAACTGTCTCTGAGAACAGAGTATATATATATATATATATATATATAT